CCTTCTGCCCTCCTTGGGGCTCAGAAGCCCCGCAGGCCACACCCCCTCCCACTCCCTGGGCAGCTTCTATTTCTGCCTCTTTGACAAGTTGTGACATATTTGGGAGCAGCTGCTGCCGGGCGGGCGGAGATGCCTTTGCTTCCCCCCGGCTCTGTCTTCTCTCCCCGCGCCTCTCCCCCAGCCCCCCCCACCCCGAGAATGTGCTGTGGGACCCTCCCTGCATTCCCCTCCTGGGAACTCGGATGTCCAGCCCCGCCCGGGCCTGGTAAGGAGCCTTTCTGGCCCAGAAAGTCAGGTGGCCACATGCAGCACAGGACTGACCGCCTCTGTGTCTGAGGCATCTCTTCCCCTCGGAGCTTCATTTTTCCGTCTTCAAAACGGGGTGATAAACTGTCTCCCGGCCGTAGCTAGTGTGTCGCCTGTTAACTGCAGAGGCTCGGAGCTCCTCTCCTCTTCTCGAAGGACTTCATTCCATGTCCCTCTTTCCCAAGTATCTCTAACTTCTCCGTCCCTGCTGGCCTTTCCCCTGAGCGCAAACGTGAAGTCACTCCACCCAGAACCCCCTTTTCCACGGCGCCCTGGGCGACGGCTCTGTCCCAGCCTCTCCTTCAGCACCAAGTTTCTGGGACCTGGGACGGGACTTCACACTCACTTGTCTACTCGTGGCCTCCGCCCTCCCTGGGACACAGGCGCCTTGGCAGGTGCAGCTGCAGGCGAGGGCTGTGTCGACCTCACTGGAGGGGTCTGTTGGCCACGGTCTCCTGAGCTCTGCTCTCCTAGCTCCTGCCACCTGCACCCTCCTGGCTCCTCTGGGTTTCCTCCTCATCCCTCCTCTGCCTCCCCTTGAGGAGGGGCCTCTTCTTAGACCTCGTCCTGCACCCCGCTCTGCGTCTGTAAATGCTGGTGGAGGTTGGCTGCTCCGTACTGCGGTGCCTCAATGAATGACTCCCAAGTCCGTACTCTGTGCCCTGAGCTGCCGACCACATGCCCAAGGTCAGGGTGGACATGCACTTCCATCAAGTGCGTCTGACAGGGAACCCGTTCACTCTCCCCATTCCCGTGTCCCTCTACTGATGACTCATGCCGCCCACTCTGTCGTTCCTGGCTTGGCTTCCCTCCTTCCCTGACATTCTCCTTTGTCTGTCTGTCCCCAGCCTTCCTCCCTCCTCTCCAGGGAGTCTGCGAGACAAGGAAACAAATGTTCCCGGGCACGTCCATCTGCTGCGTTCCCCGCATAGCCGGCCGTGCGGACACCGCATTCCACCCTCGGCCCCGGTGCCCAGCCTGTTCTTCCTGAGCCACATGTGCCCTTCCTCGTGGGCCTGGGCCAGCCGATGGCCTCCTGGGGCAGGGGTGGGGTTGGGGGACTTCTCCTCACCCCCTCACCGCACCGGTGGAGTCCCCACAGCCCATGCTCACCAGCTCTCACCCATCTTGGCTCCCCTCTCCCCAGAGACACAGCCCCACCTCCCCCAGCCTAGGGCTGGCCTTTCTGCCCTTACAGATGGGGAGGGGAAGTGGAGGCTTAGGAACCGGGTCAGGGGACTGGCCTGGACTGGGGCTCAGCACCCGCCCTTGCCCCCCTCCCCTCCCAGCCTTTCTGTAGAGCTGTGTCCCCGCACTGGGTCTGGCCCCCCAATTCTCCAGTCCCTGCCTGCGCCTCATCTTTCCTGGCTGTGGCCACATTTCTGAAAGTGATGTTTCCTTTGGTGGCCAGCGTGGCCCTCCCACTTCCTGGTCCCGGGCGAGGAGCAGGCACCTCAGATTCCTGAGCCCAGAGCCAGTTGGATGCTGCCGGTGGCATCCCGGGGGTGGGGGGGGCTGGAAGGTGGGAGGCACCCTGAGCCCAGGCAGGACTGACGAGGGGACAGTGGCCATTCTTGCCAGGTCCTCACCCCCAGCGACGCCATCATTCAGGACTCGCACACTTACGAGGCGCCTTGTAAATGCTTCACACACGGACGACTCAGCCCTGCAATGACTATGGGGGGTATCGTCACTCCAGGTTTGGACTGGGAGTCACGGGGAAGAGGTCTGTTCCCGGGAGTAACAGAAGGTGGAGGCAGGATCAGCACCAGCCTGGCCGACTCCAGAGTCGAGAACAGCCTGGTCCACTAAGGTTACAGCCAAAACGCAGGCCCTGGACGAGGCGGGACCAGCTCCTCTCCGGAGTGTATGCAGTAGGCACTCAGCAGTGCGCGTGGTGTGCTCACTGGATACTCACTGACAGCTGAACCGAGAGACAGAGCCACCTCATCCAAGCCAGTCCCTTCTGTGCAGAGTGAGGGTTCAGGGCCCCTCTCCTTCTTGGGGTGACCCGGACGTCACAGCCCATGTGTCTGTGACTTGGGCGAACTCCTGGTCCTGTGGATGTTGGTGGTACCCATTGGGCAAAGATGAGGGTGTAGTTCAGAGGAGCAGAGGATTGTCAAGAAAGAGGCAGGAGGCGGGACACCTGGCCCTCCGAAGGTGGGGGCAGCGAGGACTGGAGCCGCCGGGGTTGGGAGCGTGGGGGTGTGTGTCTGTTTATTCTGAGATGGGCAGCCTCGCTCTGGAGTCGTGAATTTAGGAATATTCTATCTCCCTGCAGACGGGCGAGCCTGGAGCAGTGCCTGGAGCCTGGCAGTGGGTGTTGGCTTGATGCACGGTGCTCACGGCACCTCCTCCCTCCCTCCTCCTGGAGCAGACGGTGCCTGTGATGTCTCCTGTCGGCTCTGCTCTCACCGGCTTCCTGGCCGGGGCCTGGTTCCCGGCCTTGAGGTTGGTGGCCAAGAGCATGACTTCTGACCTCAGGCCTCCCAAGCCTCCCCTCCTGACCCTGTGGCTGCAGTGAAGCCGTAGAAGCATATGATCAGAGCTGGGGACCTCAGACCAAGAACGAGGCGGAGAACTGGGGAACAGGGAGCAACTGGCCTGCAGTGGCAGATGGCAGAGCGAGTGAGCCGCCCTGGACCCCAGCCGCCGCCTCTTCATCCTCAGAGCCACGAACATGCATTTAAGGAGACTGAAGCCCCTCCACGTATCATCACACATCTGTGTGCCTTCACCTGGGGATCACCTGGGTGTATGGACCCACTGCAGCACACACACACTACACACACACACACACACAGTCACACTCACAGTCACACACACAGTCACACACTCACTGACAGACACACACACACTCACAGTCATACACACACATTCACAGCCACAGACACAGTCATACACACACTCATAGTCACACACACTGCACACACTCACATGCAGGCACACACACACACACACACAGTCACACTCACAGTCACACACACAGTCACACACACACTGACAGACACACACACATTCACAGCCACAGACACAGTCATACACTCATAGTCACACACTGCACACACTCACATGCATGCACACACACACTCACAGTCGTACACATGTGCACACACTCACGCACACACACACACTCCCCCAGCACCTCTCCTGGGTTGGTAGCTTCCTGTCCCCTTCCCACCCCATCAATGCTCACGGTCCAGGGTTCAGTGGCTGAGGGCTGAGCTGACAGTGGGGATGTCTACACCTGGGCCTCTCCTCCCACCACACAAGCCAGGTGCCAGGCAGAGGCTTCACCACTGACAGCTGCGAGGCTTCAGGTTGGTTACTTACCCTCCAAGCCTCAGTTTCTCATTCTGCAAATGGGGAGAATAGTGCACGTCGCCTAGGGCCTGGTACCCAGGCAGCTATTACTACTAGAGGGATGTTGTTGTCCCTGAAAGCTTGGTTCTCTGGAGGACTTCCCGCCCAGCCTGGCAGGCAGGGCTCTGCAGCCTTTCAGTGGTGACCCCCCCTCCCCGCCCGGCCGCAAACCAGCATCCAGGAGTCCTAGAGGAGGCCTCAGTCCCTACCCCGCCCGTCCATTGTCAGCCAAGCCCCTGGTGCTTGAGGGATCTCAGCTTGGTCTGTTTTGAGTTATAAATACCACCACCCGCCCCAACACACACACACCATCTGTCCCATGAACCCCTGATGCTGAGACCAAAGCAGAAGCTTTCTGGATCCCGTCTCCCTCCTCCCTCCCCTCTCCCTCCGCTCAGCAGAAATTCTATTTTCTCTGCTTTATAACCCAAAGCTCTTCCCCTTTCTTGCCTCCTCCCCCCGCCTCCATCACTGCGGATGTGAAGGGAACCTCTGGGGACAGCTCTCTTGGAAGGAAGTGCCCACTTAGAGGAAGTGCACAGAGGTAGTGAGCTCCCTCCTCAGGCGGGGCCAGCAGCTAAAAGGTGGGTGGAGCCCGCACAGAGAACCTGAGGGTCAGGGGCAGGCCCCAAGACACAGGGCTTGTAAGGCACCGTTTTCTGAGTCCCCAGAGCTAAGCAAGCCCACAGCCTTGTTGGGGGAGTGAGGTGAGAACCCTTGGGCCCTGTCTTCATTCTCATTCCCACTCCCCCAAACACAATCCGCATTACTAACCGGTATCCGCATTTTTAACCCGTAAAGTGTCAATCCGCATTATTAACCGGTATCCGCATTATGAACCGGTACCTGTTAAAAATGTGGATTGACCCTTTACCGGTTAATAGTGCGGATTTTGTTATCAAAGAAAACACGATAATTTCAAGAGAAACATCAAAAGTGCTTTGTTCAAAGTCATGTCCATCGCTAGCTACACATTCCCCCATCTTTCAGGTCATTTGTGGAGACCGTCCCAATAGAACTTTTCTTGTTTTGAGGCAAACCATTCCGAGACCCAATTTTCCACTTCTTCATATGTTTTGAAGTGCTGCTCAGGAAGTGCGTGTGCCATCGATCGAAACAAGTGGTAATCTGAAGGAGCAAGGTCTGGTGAACACAGCGGGTGGGTTCATAATTCCCAGGCAAGATCTTTTAACGTGTCTTTAACTGGTTTTGAAGTGTGTGATGGTGCGTCATCATGAAGCAACATTACTTTGTCGTGTCCTCTGGCCCATTCTGGTCATTTTATGATCAAAGCGTGGTTCAAATTGATTATTTGTTGTCGGTAGTGATCAGTACTAGCGGTTTCACCTGGTTTGAGAAGCTCATAATACACCACACCTTCCTGATCCCACCAAACGCAGAGCATTGTCTTCTCTCAGAAGCGATTTGGCCTTGCAGTCGATGTTGATGGTTGACCTGGATCAACCCATGATTTTG